AAAAAAATAAATAAATAAATAAATAAACAACCACCTCTTGCAGGAACTAAGAGAGCAAGAACTCACTGATGGCATTAACCTATGCATGAGGGATCCACCCCAATGACCCAAACACCTCCCAACACTCCCACATTGGCCACAATTCTGGGACAGCTGCATCTGGTGCGGGCCTCAGGCTGCTTCTACTCATGGCAGAAAACAGCTGGGCAGTCAGCGGGTGCAACAAGATCACATGGCGAGAGGAAGCAAGAGAGGGAAAGGGGTGTCAGGTCCTTTAAACAACCACCTCTTGGGCCGAGCCCGTGGCGCACTCGGGAGAGTGCGGTGGCACTCCCGCCATGGGTTCGGATCCTATATAGGGATGGCCGGTGCGATGCGCTCACTGGCTGAGCGCGGTGCGGCCGGTCACAGAAAGGACAAAAAAAATAAATAAATAAATAAATAAACAACCACCTCTTGCAGGAACTAAGAGAGCAAGAACTCACTGATGGCATTAACCTATGCATGAGGGATCCACCCCAATGACCCAAACACCTCCCAACACTCCCACATTGGGGACCAGATTTCAATATGAGCTTTGAGGGGATAAACATATACGAACTATATCAAAAGCCCAGCTTATTTAGATCTCAGAAAACTGTAATTTCGTTGGTAATAAAAATGTTAACCACTTAAAATATGATTAAATCTAAAATTTGTGACTTCTGAGTAAACTGCAGTTTTGAAATTAATATAGCAAATTTGTGATAATTCTGAATAAAACAACTTACATATAATAATTTTTATATTTTAAATGAACAAAAGTCACTTTAGAAACATAGAGGACTTTTTAAAAAGAATTACTTACATTTTAATCTTCCCAAATTTTCCATTTTGCTTCCATAGCTTCTATTTTTTTCTGAAAGTTGTGCTTCCTTAGAAATCAGAGTAAGAGGGGCCGGCCCGGTGGCACACTGGATAGTGCGCCGCTTGGGAAGCGCGGTGGCGCTCCCGTCCGAGGGTTCGGATCCCACATACAGACCGGTTCCCGCTCACTGGCTGAGCGAGGCGCGGGAGCAACACCGAGGGTTGCAATCCTGTTGCCGGTCCCTGGTCCGGTACGGGGGCAACACTGAGGGTTGCGATCCGTTGCCGGACACGGAAAAAAAGACAAAAATAAATAAATAAATAAAAAGAAATCAGAGTAAGAGTGTTGTGGGCCTGGAGATGCAGCTCCCAGCAGCCAGACTTCAAAAGCAATCTCTCCTCTCCCTATGGGGTCACCTCAACATAAAATCAGTTTTCAATTTTTATGGCGTAATCTGTGCATGTGCGTGTGCATGTGTGCGTGCATGGGTGTGTGTTTATGTGTGTGTGTTGGTGTGTGTGCATGCATGAATGACATGATTGCTTAATTTGGTAGCATGACTATTGCTCACATTACAACACACTGGCCTTTGACTTCAGAGCTGTGGTGTCCTGAGAACTTCCTTCCTGAGGACTTCCAGTATTTCACCAAAACCCAAAGCCAGCTGATGCAGAAATATAGATAGCAATTTAGCAATTTCCCTAAACCATCTCAGTCTCCTGCAAGATCACAGCCACCCATCGAGATAAAAAGTGAAGGAAATTTTCTCTGGCAACTTGGCAGCCCTCCTGCCGAGGCAAGAGAAGAAGGAAGGGTTCTCCACCTGGGTCGGCCTACTCCGGGCCCTGCCTTCATGGTGCACCATCCTATGTCTCCAGGCTGGCTCTGGGCACTAGGGTAGAAGGGTCTGTGGGCCCCTGATGCTCCTAGAGCAACCCCCTGCCTACCCAGGTACTCCTTTCCCTGGGGACCCCACCAAGGCTTGCTTTCTGCTGGGACCCCATGCTCTAGACTAGGGGCTGTCAAAATTAGAAATCTCATGGAAAAGTAAATTTTTTAAATTGAAAACAAAAGACTAACTTGGAGTTGCTAACTTTCTCTTTTGTCAAATCAAACAACCGTAGTACCTACTTACATTGTTTCTTCTTTCAGTACAGACATGTCTATACCTAAATAGTTAAGAATGTAATGTCAGAATCAGGACAAGTGTTTTAAATTGCCCACTTTCCTCTTGGTGAGTAACTTGCGCCATTACCCTTATTTTTCTCATTTTCCCAGGATATATGAAAACATCATCACAGTCTGGTCCTGTTCTGCCCACCCATGTCTGGAAGCCACTGCTTGATGTGTCTTGGTCTCCTTCCCCACACCCAACCGCTCCTACTGAGTGCTAACCAGTGTAACCTGCAGCATCCAGTGTGAGTCTAGTGCGAGGAAGCTCCAGCGCTGAATGAGGCTGGTGCAAAATAATCACCATATTATCCTGCACATACAAAGAATTAAAATGGGGAAAGAGGGAGGGAGGGGCCAAGAGGACAAAGGGCACCTCTTGTGTCCTCACATCCTCCTGGCCCACCTTTATCTCCAGACTTTGCTAGGATGACCAGCTTCACAAGTGGATAATCCAAAAGCATCTTGCCTCCATTGAGTTTCCTGTTCTTGCTTTCTGCCCCCACTTCTCTGAGCCACGCATGGGATGCCTGTGGAAACCCACTAGGCACTTGCCCATGTGTGAAACTGGAAATGCAAAAGAGACAACCTCTCATGAAGCAACCCTTGACCAGCAGGGCCAGGGGCTGGTAGGGAAGAGCTCCCCTCTGTGGCCAGGAGGACGATCCTGAACACATTCTGCAGAGCCCCTCAGAGGGTCCCAGCAATACTGAGTCCCAGTTGTCCATGGAGGTGACAGGTTGATAATGCACGCTGGTATTGGCTTTCCCTCCTCTGGTTTATTCTTCCAAGACCCCCAACCCCACCCCTGACATCACTTCCCCAAACAAACAACCTGCGTGCAAGCCCTTGTCTCAGGCTCTGCTTTCTGGCTAGAGAGGACTTAGCCTAAAGCAGCTGATCCCAAGCAGGGGTAGATGACTCCTGGCGTGTAGTAACACCACAAGTACCCACCCTTTCACAACCAGTGGATCATAGTGAGATACAGATGAAAGAGACACAGTGGCTCTAGGGGCGGTGGCACTCAAAGTGGCCATGGAATTGGCTGGCTGCTGTAAATGGTTTTAGAAGCCTTGGAAAAATGTTAGGCTCAGGTGAGCTAACTATGAACCATGGAACTGGGTCCCTCGTATAAACAGAGAGGGTAGGATTCTGGAATGGCAGAGGCCAGATGGCACGCATATGGCCAGCAAGGCTGACCCACAGAAATCTATGGCAATAGCAAATAGACCATGGTACCCCTGGGGCAAGAAATATGAGCAGCCAACTTGAGTGTTACTTGACTTGTATGACCGGGAAAAACTCAGGAGCTAATGCCAATGCCACAGCGTAAAATTTCAATCCCACACCAGTTTTCTTGTCTAAGCCAGTTAATTGACACAGACATCACTGAGTCAAGGAAGCACCCTGCCATGGCACCATAAGCATGGATGACATATATTTCCCAGTCTTTCCTCCAAGATACCTGTGGCCGCTTATCGGGGTATCTAGAAAAGGAGAATAACCAAGTCTGCAGAGGGCTTCTAAATACAGCATCTGAGCCAACACTGACACCAGGGGACCCAAAATGCCACCAAGGCCTCCCATTTAGAATGGGGGCTGCTGCAGGCCAGGTGATAAATGCAGCCCCAGCCCAGGCCCCATCTCATAGGAAACTCATGGCTAGTTCCTGGCCACCAAGTACATAAATGCAAAGGGTTTATTCAAAACTGACAAACCCTCACATTGATTCCCTGTCTGGTAAACTAATAGCCAGTGGTAAGAAGGGCCAACTAGAAGCTCCTGAAACTGTTCCCACTCTCACAAAGAGTGTAAATCAGAGGCAGAACTTCATGTCAGAGGAAGTGCAGAGATTGGCATCACCATCAGACACTTAAAGGATGCAGAGATGTGGTTGTCATCATATCCCTATTTAGTTTACTTATATGGCCCCTAAAGAAATCAGATGAATTATGGCAGATATACTGCTGTAAACTTAACCAAGTAGTAGACTCAGTTAAAAGTGCTGGTGTGGTATCTTTACTAGAACAGATTAACACATGCTCTGGCACTTGATTTAGCAAATGCAATCTTTTAAACCCTAGCAGCAAGGAAGATCAAAGCAATTTGCTTTTACATAGAAATGACAGCCACATACACACTGTCATCCTCCAAAGCATCATTAACTTCTCATTAACATCGTTAACATCATTAATATCATCTTCTGTAACAGCAATGTTGCAAGGCATGACTGAATGAGCCTAAAGATAAGGCAACATTTTGTCCCAAATCATCCGTCAAAAAGAGGAAGTTAACTTACATCCAGCTCCTTACAAGTCCCGCATATTGTGGGGTGTTCTTTCGAACTTTATGTTCAATAAAAAAGTACTGCTAAGAAGGGCTGGCCCGGTGGCGCACTGCTACAGTGCGCTGCTTGGGAAGCGCGGCGGCGCTCCTGCCGAGGGTTCAGATCCCACATACAGACCGGCCGCTCACTGGCTAAGTGAGGGGCGGGAGCAATGCCGAGGGTTGCGATCCCATTGCCGGTCCCGGTCCGGTACGGGCGCGACACTGAGGGTTGCGATCCGTTGCCGGTCACGAAAAAAGACAAAAAGGAAAAAAAAAAAAGTACTGCTAAGAAAAGACACATGAGACAGAAGTGGCCAAATTAATGTTGATTTTGGATGCCTAAAGGCCACCTGATAGGATCAGCTTAAAAGAAGCACAAAAGTTTAGCACCCTTTCAATAATTATATACATACGGACATTTTATCTGACATTCTTCACTAGAATGTCTGCTCCAAGGAGGCAGGAACTTTGCTCACCTTTGTATTCCTGTGCCTAGAATAGTGCCTGCCATCAGAAAATAATAAATATTTGTTGAATGGATAAATGAATAACTATTCCTGGGGATATGAACTCACAATTGCAAACGTTGGAAGTTGATGAGTTTCTAAAGATCACTTTTTAAAAAAATAGAATGGGCATTTATCCCAGAGAAATATAAAACTTGTTTTCAGACAAAAATCTGTACAGGAATGTTCATAGCAGCTTTATATAATAACTAAAAACTGGAAACAACCCAGATGTCTTTCAGCAGGTGAACAGCTGAACAAACTGTGGTGTACCCACACCGCAGAACACCGCTCAATAGTGAAGAGGGGTGAACTGCTGATACACAGAGTGGGGGATGCAGGAAGGGGTGGTTATGAAAAACAAGAGGGATGCTCTTGGTGACAGAACTGCTCCATATCTGGACTGTGATGGTGGACGCACAAATCTGCACATGTGACAAAATTGCATAGAGCTAAACACACATACACACAGACACACACAAGAGTTCATGCAAAACTGAGGAAATATGAGTAAGATCAGTAGGTTGTATCGGTGTAAAGTTTCTGGTTGTAATATTGCGCTACTCATATGGTTTTGCAAAATGTTATCAGTGGAGGAGCCTGGGTAAAAAGACACAGGGTCCTTTTGTATCACTTCTTTTTTTTTTTTTTTTTTTTCTTTTTTTTTTTTTTTTTTTATGT